CAATTAGGTTCTACAACACTCCTCTCTTCACCTTTTCTCACATTTTTGCCTTATATTATTGTGGCGCTCTGTCACTAGATCTTGGGAATGATTTGAACTTTTAAGCAGAATGATTTGAGGATTTGCTGTGAATTCTGTCTTAAGGCTTGACAATTCATTGACAGGTTATGACTTTGCACAGTGAGCTGATGTATGGCACATTTTTTCTATGCTTTTTGTTAGTTGTTGTGTGCCTTCAAGTCATTTCCGACCTACAACGACCCTATTATGAGGTTTTCTTGACAAGATTTGTTCAGAAGAGATTTGCCATGGCCTTCCTCTGAGACTGAGCTTGTGACTTGCCCATGGTAGCCCAGTAGGTTTCCATGGCCAAGCTGGGATTTGAACCCTGGTCTCCCAGTGTCTAGTCCAACAGTCAAACCATGACACAACACTAGATCTCTTTTCCCTGGCAGCAGGAATTAATGGTAAACATGCATTCAGTTGGAAGTGATACTGTGTTCTAAACCATGGTGTGGTCAAACCCCTTCTGAAGAAACATGCCAAGAAAACCCTATAATATTGCCATAAGTCAGAAATGACTTGGAGGCACACAACAACATAACTTAAATGCTCTCCCCTTAATCCTCATTCACAACCACCCTGTGAAGTAGAGTAGATAGGCATGTCACCTAGATGGACCTTTGTTCTTGTTCAGTGGTTCTTGTGAAAGGAAATGAGAGGTAATAATCCTTCCATGTGCATTGGGCAATAATACTTCCATGTGCAATGCTTGTCTCTAGCTTGGTAAATATAATGGAAAAACTGGGAGTGGACAACTAGAGATACTGGAGGAGGTTGCTTTGTCTCTGGGGTTTCTGGTTGTCGATCTCCTCTTGCTAGTTTTCCTTACTGCTGACTGTAATAGAGGGAAACTATAACAGAGATACTCTGAGCTGCTAGCCATGGCGTAGATGGAGCCACAGCTGCTTTGGAAGTGGAGTGCATCTGATGACCTGGAGTGAACCTGGTTGTGTAACACTCGCAACTTCTTCATAGCTTTGACCACAAACGGCTGCAAATTCTTTGGATTGCACCTGCCTGCAGGGCAGAGTAGAGAGGCAAGAGAAACTGTGTGATGGCATGTTTTTGAAGTGAAATTAATCTCCCTCCTTTATGCCCTATTTCTCTCTCTCTCATGCCTTGGGTAGGTTGTTGCAAACTAAATGGCATTTGAACTGAAAATATCAAGTTACTCTAATGTTTTGTTCCAGCTGCCAGCTCTGCCAGGACCACAAAGGATAGTAGGTTCTATACTTGGCAGCAGCCAAGGCAAAGAAGCATTGTTTCAGCAACCTGAATTATTGCAGTTTTTTAAAAAAGATCTTATAGTAAACTAAATCTGGAATGACAGTCAGCAGAAGAACCTGAACAATGATCTAGCTAGTGACACCAGTAATGATGGCTGATGACAATTGGAGTTATATTCTGTAAAGAGAATTGCTAAGCAAGCCTTAGCCTAGCTTTCGGGATACTGTGAAGGGAGAGCTATTAAACTAGAAGTTTGTCTGTTGAAAATGTCTGAGCCAGCTAGAAATAGACGGAGGACCAGGAATAAATAGGGATGAGACAGGGGCAAAGAGCTAACATGGTATAGAGCAGGGGTAGGCAACCTAAGGCCCGGGGGCCGGATGTGGCCCTCTGAGGCCTTTGGACCGGCCCCAGGCCGGTTCTGCCGCCGCCACCGCTGCCTACCATGATGATAATGATTATTGTTGTTATTACTTGTTCTTGGGGTTGTCTTGGCAAAATTTCCATGGGGTTTTGCTATGGCTTTTCTGGGGCTGAGAGAGTGTGCATGCATATTTTTTTTTAATTTTAATTTTAATTTTTTATTTTTTTATTTTTGGTGCTTCGGCCCCACAATTGTCTGAGGGACAGCAACCCAGCCCCCGGCTCAAAAAGGTTGCCTACCCCTGGTATAGAGCATGATTCTCAAACTTTGGTCCTTAAGATGTTTTGGACTTCAGCTCCCAGAATTTCTGACAGTCGGCCAACCTGACTGGGGCTTCTGGGAGTTGAAGTCCAAAACACCTGGAAGACTAAAGTTTGGGAACCATTGGTGTCGAGGATTGAGTGTTGAACTACAGTTTTGAAGACTAGGATTCATATCCTGCTCAGTCATGAAAAACCACTGGGAGATCTTGGGAAACTCACATACTCTCAGCCACAAAGGAAGGGAAAAGCAAACTCTCCATGAGCAAATCTTGCAAAGAAAACTCGATGATAGGGACCCATTTTGGGAAGAAAGGTGGGATATATATTCAATAAAATAAATAGGTTTACCTTAAAGTTGCTATAAGTCAGAAATGACATGAAGGCACACAACAACAGAGTCAGGAGCAGATAGGAATGAATGAAATCTTGGGAAGATCGGATGAGATAAGGCCTGGTAGGAATGGAGGAATTGGTAAGAGCTGAATAGGGACTTTGGTTCCTATCCGTTGCCGTTTGGTAATTAAGGTGAGAGAGAAGGAAAGTCCTAAAATTGGCCAGAGTATCTAAAACATGTTTATTGTCAATGTTGTTGTTGTAGAATGTTATGTTGTATCCTATCTGATGTTGCACAATTTTTGTTTGTTGTTGGTTTGCATTGATGGGTCTATGGACTGTAATAATAAATACTGTACTGTACTTTACTTTGATGAGAGCTGAGAATGTGGAAGAAGTTCAGGGGGAAGTGCTATTTTGCTTTAATTGAGGTGTTACGTTACACTGTAAGGCTGGATGTTTAACTTACTAGTTATATAATAAGCCTTTACTGTTATTTTCAACATCTCTCACTCTGGATGCTTTTGTTTAAGAACTGATAATAGTGCATTGCTACACTGAACCTAATCATTCTCTTGTCCAGTATATGTGTCACCTTGGGGCCTGAGACCCAGACCCTGGGAGGTTTTTTAAATAAATCTTATTCAAAATAAGACAATTATAAAGTAAATACGCATACTTACATGTATAAACATACCTAAGCCACCTAGCATGCCTACATCACTTAACACACTCATAACATAAATATGGTGAAAATATTAACCATAATAACAGCAATAATATTATATATCAATAAAACTATCTTATGTAAACGTTTGTCAACCCAACCCTCTTCATTTACCATCCTTGCATATATACATTCCTTACCTTCTACTTTCATATACTCAACTTCACTGCTTCCCCCTTCTTTCCCCTATATACTTATCCTTCTTTCATCTTCTCTCTCAACCTCTTTCTTCCATTCCTCCCTCCTTCCTCATTTCATATCTTTCATCCTATGTTCTACATCCTCTTCACCCTCAACTGCATATTCCAACCTTCTCTCACTTACTCTGGAAGGGTTTTGATGGTAAGGGGTCAGGATGGGTGATTCCATCACATAGTGTTTCTCTTGGTGGACACCAAGCTAGTGAAGAACTCTTTCAGTAGTGCTTGTGCAGCTTTGGAACTGGATGCTCAAGGTCTTTCACTCCTAGACTCAGACACTGATTGAAAGCTTATCAACTTGTAGTTTTTAAATAGAGGAATGATTCTTCAAATGATCGGGATTGTGCCATAAACTGATTCTTCCTATTCTCTGTTTCTGCATCATTTCTTTATTCCTTTTCCAGTTTTCTTTGGCCATGAAGTGTTCCTAGTGCTAATCTCCAAGACATAGGTTTCAGTGGATTTGTGATGTTACGGTTTTTGTTGTTAACCACTCTTGAATTGATCTCAACCCATGTTGACCGTGTGTATGAGACATCTCCAAGACTCCCTGTCCTCGACAGCTCTTCTTAGTTCCTGCAAACTCATTATCTGTGACCTCCTTAAGAGAGTCCATCCATCTAGCATGTGGCCTTCCTCTCTGCTTCCCTCCATAAGCTGTGTCTAAAGCAACTTACAAGAAATAGGAGGGAAAGGTCTTGGCATATGAGCAGGGATAAGATGTGACATAGCGTGTTTATTGCACAATCCTGGTCCTTCCAAATCACCACAGTGTTTGCTGTACTGGGGTGCCTTTAAGATGGAGACTAAACCATTGTAGCCCACCAGATGTTTGGACTGCAACTGCTACTGGCAATTCTTGTTGTTATAGTTGTTCTATGCCTTCAAGTCAATTCCAGTTTAAGACAATCCTATTTTATGGTTTTCTTGACAAGATTTATTGAGAGGAGGTTTGCCATTGCCGCCTTCTAAGCCTGAGAGAGTATGACTTGCTCAGGGTCACCCACTTTGATACCCATTTTGTTTCCGATGACCAGTTTCTTGAGCTTTCTTCTTTAGCATGTTCATTTGTACACACTGGAAGCAACTCCGTTTGCAGAAAAACAGCATAGTGGGTCATGCAGAGGTGGGTACTTGTAAAATATGCTGCTAAAACCATATACTGTATAGCTAGCAATCTGTGCCTGTCAACAGAGATCAGCTTTTGCTAGAAGAAGCTTATCATTTCTGGCTTCCTTGAGGATATTGAGTAGGAAGAGTAGGAAGGTGGTGTTCTAACAGGGAGACAGGTTGTGGATGTCTTGTTACCTGTGATGATGGAAGTAAAAGACACCAGAAAAGTCTTTATGATCCATGATGCCATTTCAAGATGTGGCTGCATGGTAAATACATAAGAACAGCCTTGCTGGATTGGGTCAAAACTCTACTGAATGTAGCATTCTGTGAGTGACCAACAGATACCCATGGAAAGACCACAGAAAGGGAGTGAGGACAGTGCACTTGTTTTGGGATACACTTTCATGGCATGTGAAGACTCGATACGAATTTTTGAGGGGTTAAGAGGTTTTCAGGCCATCCAATCTATGTTGGTGTTAATGTGGCGAACATCAAACTTGTATTGGTCCCCCATCTCAATCGTTGCTATTTGTGTTGTGTGCCTTCAAGTTATTTCCAACTTATGGTGACCCTAAGGCAAACTTATCACAGGATTTTCTGGGGCTGACTGTGTGTGACTTTCCCAAGGTCACTCAGTGAGTTTCCATGGCCAAACAGGGAATTCAACCCTGATCTCCAGAGTCAGAGTCCAGTGCTCAAACCACTACACCACACTGGTGCTCCACAAACATATGGGGCATAATTCATTTGAAAAACATATTTATGTCCATGCACATCAAACTGGCTCACAGACTGTGCACAGCCATTCAAGGGCATTTTGGTGAGCATCATGCTCTTGTAGAGCCCCTTCATGCCCTCCTGACAATTTTTGATCATAACCTCAGTTTTTTCCATTGGTCCATATTGCACTACAAAGTTGTAGGCATCTACCTAATGCCTCTAAAGTTAGATCAGAAGTGGATGTCCAGCCATTTCCAGTTTTCTATTTAAAGATATAGATTCTTGGTTAGATGACTGTTTTGAGCTACATCTCATGAAAGTCCCAGCCAGCAGAGAAAATGATTAATGATTATGGTGGTTGTCTGAAACATTTAGAGATTATTAGGTTGATTACTCCAGGTGTATTGTTTTACAACATATTTGAGTGCTAAAAAGTGCTTGGCTATCCAAATAGCAACCAGAGTATTTGTCTGTAGACCAAAAGGGTGACTCCTAATTTAGATTCAGTCAGTCTTTCTGGCTGAGTTGAATAGAAATATGTATGAAGCCTTCCAGTATAAACCTTGACTTTTTTTTGTAATGTAGAATTGAGTCAAATTCTATACCAGATTTTTAAATTTGCATTTGTCTTGCCTTTCCTCTGCAGAGTTTAAAATGTCATTAGAGCATAATCCCTTGTAAGAAGAGCCATACTGAATAAGACCAAAGGTCTATCTGGTCAAAGGTCTATCTGGTCATTCTATTCATATCAGGACCAATGAGTTATCCATGGAAAGCCCATCCAGCAAGATATGAATGTAATTACGCTGTCGATCTCTTGTTCCCTGCAGCCTCCCCACTCTCAGCTAGACTTTGAAACTTAAGTTACCCCACATTCAGACCTGCTTTGCATCCACAGCTGTATTGATTTCATTCTCTTTCTCTGTCCCAATGAACATAGAACCCCACTCAGTCCCTTAACTGTCGTGAGTTGACCAGGTACAGTACAAATATAACTGCTTGTTGGGAGATGGTTTTCATTATGTGTCTAGCTTTGAATGAGTTTTTTCCTCCCAAAGGCCTCCCTTCAGTGGGCTCTCTCCTGAAGACGCAAGAAATTGTCTTGGCGCTCAGATGCTCTCCAGGAACTTGGCTGTTCTAGGAATGCATTTCCTGACTGCTCGAGGTAAGGGGGCAGGGTTTGGCTCTGCTACGACCAAACTTGGCAACTTTCCATCTGATGTGCAGAAAATGGAGCTGGCTGGCTTCCCCTGCTTTGTAACATACAGGCAGCCCAGCGTGGTGTGCCTTAATGGCTGGAGAGGTTTCTTATACCAGGGGATACTCCTTTACAGCCCTGCTCAGTTGGTGTACATCTTCAGGCAGAGATAGATCACTGATTGAACATTTGATATCTTTGGATGCTTTCTCCAAATAATATTGGAAATATTATGTTTTTGGGACTACAACTCCCAGAATAGGAGTGGCCACCAGATGCCCTTGGGAATAGCTGGGTTCTGAGAGCTGCGGTAACATTTTCAAGTTCTGATTTAATTATCTTACATTCCATTTCTTATCTTCAGGGAGGGCCCTGCATATTTGCAGCCAGGACAGTAAAAGTAACAAGAGGGAGGTATCAGTCAAATTGGGGTAAATCTGAGCTTTGTGGAAATATGTTAAACATTTGTATTATAAAAAGACTTAGAAAGCTGAGAAGACAGAAATAAAAACAAAAGTAGCAAATTATGGCTATTAAAAATGCCAAAATCTGTACTAGGTTGATAATGTCTTTAGGACTACCAAAAGGACATATAGATATGTGCAAGCTTTCAAGATATTCAGAAGCATGTGGGGGCAGGAGAGGAGGAGGAGGAGGCCAAGGAAAGAATCCAGACTTGATGTTAGGAAGACATGTTGTCTTTGTAGTGTTGTAGAGTTGGAATGAGAGGCCCCTTTTCACATTTTCCATCTCAAGATGTCATGACACACCACATGTCTTCCAGCATCAAGTCTGGATGCATTTGTTACTACCCCACCTCATTTGCTTTTTGTAACATATTGTCTGATTCCCACTCTAACTTGGTTTTTACTTTGTGTGAAACATGTATTTCATGCTAGTGGTGTAATACTGCTAACGCAAATTCGAAAAGAAATGCTGCTCATTGTTCTCATACTGCAAGGTATGGAAGGGTCCGTGGGTGAGAAGGAATCATTTCATATTTCTTCCCAAACCAGACCAAACTGCCAATTGTACAGATGCCTCATGCTCCATTGTCCTTCCTGAAGACTGTACTTCCAAATTTTTCAGAAACTGGGAAAACATTTTTAGTACATGTTAATGTTCTGAGCTGGATCTGGCTGCAATTCCAGCTGATACCAAAAACTGACACACGTAACTGCTATAAGTTAAGCTTTATTGGTGGTAAATGGATGCCACAAATGGTCCATGGCAGAGGAAAACATCACAGTCCTTTAGCTGATGGGTTCCAGCATCTCTTCCCAACAGATGGTAGAATAGGACCTCTAAACAACTCTTATCAAAACCACCCTAGAGCAAATACTGTGGATCCTTTAGGTTGGATAACACTTTGGGCCCCCTGGACTGGGGTGCAAAAGCCACTGAAAGATAAATTGCTGGGTATATATAAGGCAGAACCAAAGAGAAGAATGTTTACTCCCCCAATCTGTTCCCAACTCCCTCTATATTCTTGAAGTGCCAGGCTGAAAACATTAAACCACCTAACAGGATCTACTGAACATAAACGGTTCTTTATGCCACTGGACAGCTGCCAATGTTCAGCTATGATGCTGTCAAGAATTCTAGAACCCATCTGCCTGGTGTCAGGGCCACATCCCTAAAGATGCCAGAACTGAGGCTTTGAATGGATGCCAACATTTGGTTTTTAACCTCTCCCAGTAGCGCATGTTAGAGGGTCTTGCTTGTTTCCTTCTTCTGTTTCCAGTGTTCACATGTAAAATGCTGATGCTTATATAATTTAAATGATCCCTAACACAAGGGAGGAGATCAGCAAGCTTTGTAAAATCCTAATGTTTACAGAAGTATAGTTTTTGAAGTAAAACACCTAAAGGTGAGGAAAACTGGCAGCCCAGCCCAGTGAGGGCCAAGCATGCTAGATGACCAGGGATGTGGACTATGGAGGAGATGTTCCTGTTTGCTCTCAAATTCCATTTCATGTGATGGCACCTCTTTCCTTCCCTGCACTTCTGTGTCCCTTTGTACCCAAATACTTTAGTGACTTTAGTTGAAATGTAATCCTTGCCATATGAGGAAAGATGTTTCCCAGTATGGGTAGTTAAATTTCTTTCTTAGATGGCTGTGAAACTAATCAGCCAGTAACTTGAACAGGCATCTTTTGTTTAAGTCAATGTCAGGACTCTCCCATGGTGATGTTAGTAACCTTTGGCACTTGTGTGCGGATTGGACACGAGGTCATGAACTGCAGTGAAAGACTGAGCCCTGAGGGTGGAGATTGGACAAATACAGGATTAATTGCCAGAGGCAGCAGCACAAGAGGTGAGGAAGAAAGCCAGCTGGGAAGGAGATGGTGAATCATAAGTCAACCTTCCCCAACCCAGAGCCTTCTGGATGGCTTGGCATACAATTCCACCCATGCACACTATGGCTGATGGGAGTTGGAGTCCAGCAGTGTCTGGATTCTGAAGGAACCCAGGTTGGGTATGAATGGTGCAAATGGAAAAATCATATTGTACCCCAGTTAAAGATGTATTGCAGCAATTGTTGCCATGAAACTTTCCATTTTTAAATATATTATTTAGGAGCCAGTAACAAAGAACAATAAGATCTCCCCCCAAAAAAGATTGAACCCCAATGTTTTTAACAGTTATGTAGAAAAGGGAACGTTGTTGGCTATATCTATCTTTCCATGACAGATTGCACCTTCCAAAAAGGCACATTTCTGCACCTATTACTGGTACAGGTGCTAATGGCTATAATCTTAGTGGTTTTGCTTTGCTCTCCTTAAATGGAGATGAGCTGTCATTTGGATTGTCATCTTTATTCAGCTCCCCTCTGTGGGGAGAAGGGAAGATTCAAAGTAAGCTACATGGAAATAGACAGTTGGTATTTTATTTAGTAGTTACATTTATATTAATCTTTCTTCAAATGAACTGAAGGCACATAGATGGATCTCCCTTCTCATTTTGTCATCATAGCAGTACTGTGTGTTTGGTCAGTAGACTCAGCAGGGACTTAAAGAAGGATCTCCTAAGCCAATGGTTTCCAAACTTTCATCTTCCAGATGTTTTGGACTTCATTTCCCATAATTTCTGACTGCTGGCTGAGGGCTTCTGGGAGCTGAAGTCCAAAACATGTGGAGGATTTGGGAGCCACTGCTTTAAACCATTACATCACAGCTGGAGTACATAAGAAGCGACTTCATTTTGAGTCACAACATTGGGGCATTTAGTCTAGTATTGTCTTTTCTGATATCTTTGCCATCAGCTGCTAACTGACCCACCAAATGGAAATGCCTGGGGCTTGAACCTGGGACCTTCTCCATGTGCTCTGCTGCTGAGGTATGGTTTCTGATCAGAGGTTGATCATTTTCATCATGGTGCAAATTCTTGTAGCCATTGCAGTTCCATAGATGGCTGCACTGTATTTTTGTCTCACTTGGTGCCTGCCATTACTTCCCCATGGGACTGTGCTCACATGGGTTGCTGAGGAGGAGACCACTACATACTCAGGGAAATGGACCCTGGTTTCCAGAGTCATAGCATATCCACCTACATGAGTCAAAGTGTGCCCAGAAATCTAGCTGGATCCAGAATCAGAGTTCTCCTTTTTCCTCTGTTGTACTTTGATTGTGTTGTGAGAGCGCAGATAATTTTAAAAATACATCCTCCTGTACACATGCTATTTTCTGTGTGGGTGATTAGAGGAAAATAATTATTAGCATGTTGGGATCTTTGTAATTACAGCAACAGAGTCTCTGTGACACTGTCGTGGTGGCAGCAGCAACATCTTCTCTTCCCTAT